TCTCTTTCTCAACATAGGGACAGGGAGCGAGGGAGCCCTGCTGATGCCTGGGAGAGAGGTCCAGTCACAGGGGCAGGACGGGCATGTGACCTGAGGGTGGAAGGAGCAGCCAGAAGCCCATGGGCTATAGGGGCGCGAGCAGGGGGAAGCAGAGAGGTGATGGGAGGGCGAGGGTGTGCAGGGCAGGGCGAGGAGAGAAGTAAACATGACCGACTGCAGAGGGAATGAGTGCTGGGGGAAGAGCCTGCCTGGAGTGGGTTCAACAGCAGATGGAGGAGAGCAACTGGGGACAGCAAGTGGAGCAGAGAAATGGGAGGGCGTCTGGGGCAGCTGGCGGGGAGTGGAATCAAGAGGATTTGCTTAATTTTCCATGAAGGAGAGGACAGTAATGGTGAGCCTGGATGCTGCTGCCAGTGACCCAAAGGAGAGAGAGGACTGCCGCCAGCAGGATGGGGCACAGTGGGAGCAGGTGCCCTGATGGGGGAGGTGGGGATGTGGGGCCGCTGAGGCAGGCAGGTTGGGAGCTGGGGTGAGGGGCTCAGGGATGCACTTCCTGCTGGTAACCCTGCCCCTGGCTATGGGCGCCAGCCTCTATGGGGAGCTGCCCAGGCCCAACCTGGCACAGCTGTGGAGACTCAGTAGTACTTGAAGAAGCCCCACATACCACAAAGGGGACAGAGATAGAGACATAGGGGACAGGAAATCGAGAAGGAAAAAACTCAGAAAGGGAACAAAATCAGAGCCTATCACAGACGTGGAAAGGGCAGGGGAGGCAGCCTGGGCTGGGGGGTCCCCTGCACTGTCCCTGCTCCAAAACCTCAGGGCCGGGCTAGAACACCCACTGCATGGCTTGCCAGGGCTGTGACCTGGGACTGTGTACCCTGAGCCTCAAGCTCCCCATTTGTAAAATGAGGACACGGCCAACTTCCTCTCAGGGCTGTGAAGGGAATTAAGGAGGTAACTCTCATAAAGTGCCCGGCAGTGAGCCAGATTCTCTTCCTTCCCTCTCTCATCTCCTGCCCCACAGCCCTGGAGGTCTTTCAAAAGTGGGCACAGAGCCCAGCCTGCTGGCAGAGGCTGGAACTGCACCCATGCCCCTGTTAAAGGTAGAAGCTTCAGCATCCAATTCCCTCCATGGAACAGGCAATGGTTTTATTCCCTCGCCACAGAGAACATCCAACTCCACAGGCATTCAAGGGCCTTCCCTCTACCCCGGCACATGCCAGACTTTAGTCCACTCTGCCCCATTTGTGCTCCCACGGTAGCCCCTGCGTGGAGCGCCCTCCCCTCCACCACGTGGAGATATCCAATGTCATGCTCTTTGAAGCCCCCCTCCCCTCCCACAGGCAGAACTAACGGGGAACTCTCTCTTCAGTCTTTTTGTGTGTGTGTGATGGAGTCTCACAGTGTCACCTAGGCTGGAGTGCAGTGGCACGATCTCACTCACTGCAACCTCTGCCTCCTGAGTAGCTGGCATTACAGGTGTGCACCACCATGCCCGGGTAATTATTGTATTTTTAGTAGAGATGGGGGTTTCGCCATGTTGGCCAGGCTAGTCTCGAACTCCTAACCTCAGGTGATCCGCCCAGCTCAGCGTCCCGAAGTGCTGGCATTACAGGTGTGAGCCAGTGAGCCCAGCCGTCTTCAGTCTTCTTGAAACACCTGGTGTTTTCTCTAGATTTGCTAAGCTGTGAGAAAGACAGCACTAGAACACCTGCTTGTCTCCTTGTGTGGAGAGACTCATGAGAGGCCATGGACCCCCCTTACTCACCTGCTACCCCATGGATTTTCTATCGTCTGAACCTGACCAGTCACTGCCAGTGCCTGAGACCTTCCCAAGGAAGCCTCCCCTACTCTGGGTGAGGGTGTGTGTTGTAAGTTTCTCTGCATTTTCCAAAGTATCTACCTGAGCATATATGTGTGTGTGTGTATGTATGTATGTATATATGTTTGTGTGTGTGTGGGTGTATCTATTTCTGTATGTGTTTGGGTGTGTGTGTGTGTGTGTGTTTATAAATATATATAAATATATTTTTTTTTTTTTAAAGAAAAATATCCTTCAGTGCCTTCCTGGTAATTCCCTAGCAAGGCTTACAGGGCAGGCTCTCCTCCCTGCTCCCGCTCACCAGCCACCCCCATCCCATGTCCTTTTTTCAGACCCCTCTCATGGTGGCCCCTCTGCTGGGAAAACCATGGTCCACATGCCTCTGGTAATAATTGCTATTCTCACCCACCCCATCTTTCCACTCGAGCTGTCAAGGGTCTGGACAGCATCATGAGTCGTGGCTGTCTCCCTCTAGGTGAGCCTCTTGTAGTAGCTGGGGTAGCAGGGGTGGTGCGCTTCCATAGGCCCAAGTCACGGACGTCCGACCCACGCAAGTTGAACGAAGCAAGTCCTCACTGCCATAGTTTGCTCATTTGCAAAATGAAGAGTCTAGACGGAACCTCCCAGGTGTCTTTTGACTCTGAAATTCTGACCTATATGTGGTAGTGAACATATTTTAGGCAAACGGTCATCAAACAGCTGATCCTGGGCCAGGATCCCCTGGGGAACGGGCTGTTCTGTCGGTACATGTCTTTCTCCACAGGATTCATCACCTCACCCGCCCCAGGGAGGGGAACACGGGTCTGCTTTCCCTCCTTAGCAGGTGGCCCATCAATGGGCACAGGATTTCGGGGAAACCAGCAGTCACTTCCCATCCGGGGTGGGTTTGCGTCCCAAGATGGGGACAGGCTGCATCCCTCAGCAGCACTGTGCCCACCTGAGTGTGAGGCCACTGCCAATCCTGGTAGCGGACAGGAGGGGCTCATCCATTTGTTTATCATCCAGAGCTGATTAGGGTAAGAGGCAGGTGAGCCCCATCTGGGGTGCTTATCTCTGAGGGGCACATAAAACATAACTGGAATCAGAAACATGGCGCCAGTTAAGCCAGGCTGCCACACATACATGCCTCCTTTCCAGTTCTGCTTCTGCTTAATTGGGCCCTTAAAGTACACGAAATATCAGCCAGGGGCAGTGGCTCATGCCTGTAATCCCAGCACTTTGGGAGGCTGAGAAAGGAATATCACCTGAGGTCAGGAGTTTGAGACCAGACTGGTCAACATGGCAAAACCCCCACTCTACTTAAAACACAAAAATTAGCTGGGCATGGTTGGCTGGGCGGGGCTGTAGTCCCAGCCTGGCTCGGGGAGGTTTTGAGGGCAGGTAAGAATCGCTTGGAACCCAGGGAGGCGGAGGTTGCAGGAGCCTGAGGAGTCGCACCACTGCCACTTCCAGTCTGGGGGACAGGAGTGAGACTTTTGTCTTCAAAACAAAAAAAAAACAAAAAAAAAAAACGGTGGCTCATGCCGTTTAATCCTAGCAGTTGGGGAACCGCGGGCGGGGGGATCCACCTGAGGGCAGGAGTTCAAGGACCAGCCTGGCCAACATGGTGAAAACCCCATCCTGTCTAACCAAAAAAAAAAAAAAAAAAAATCAGCCAAACACGATTGGCAGGCCACGGCCTGTCTATCCGCATCTACTCAGAACGGAGGCCTGGAGGCAGGAGAATTGCTTGAACCAGTTGAGGCAGAGGCTTGCAGGGAGGCCAAAGATTGCCCCGCACTGCCAACGTCCAGTCTGCCCACAAAGGGAGAGAAGGTCTCAAAAAAAAAAAAAAAAAAAAAGCATGCGCATAAACCTCATCAGGAAGGGACTGCATTTTATCTCAGACGTATTATCTAACATACTTTAACGATACTTTCCAAAAGGTGTCCGCAGGTTTGGACTTTTTCTTTTTGGGAGGACGAGTCTCGCTTTGGTCACCAAGCCTGGGGAGTGCAGTGGCACAGTCTCAAGCTCAACTGCCAAGCTCTCTTCCTGGGTTCAGGTCACTTCTTCCTGCCTCAGCGCTCCCAAGTTAGCTGGACTACAGGCGCCCACCACAACACCCAGCTAATTTTTTGTATTTTTAGTAGAGATGGGGTTTCACCGTGTCAGTCAGGATGGTCTCGATCTCCTGACCTCATGATCCGCCCCTCTCAGTCTCCCAAAGTGTTGGGATTACAGGCATGAGCCACTGCACCCGGCCCAGTTTGGACATTTTTTAAAGAACTACAAAACAGGCCGGACTCGGTGGCTCACGCCTGGAATCCCAGCACTCTGGGAGGCCAAGGTAGTTGGATCACCTGAGGACTGAAGTTTGAGACCAGCCTGGCCAACATGGTGAAACCTCGTCTCCACTAAAAACATGAAAATTAAAGGGTGCGCCACCCATGGACCAAGCATACCCCCACCTTAAACTCTGGATTCAGACGAGTTTCAATCCTGTCTTCAGTACAGGGGGCTCATAGGGAAGTTTATTTTGTCTGAGTCTCAGTTTTCTCATCTATAAAATGCAGACAGAAATAGAATTCCTCTCAGGGCTATGAGAACTAGATGACATGCTGTGAATGTACCTACCTACACGGTAGGTAGGCAGGCAGGTGCTCAGTGATTGTTCAGCACTACCAACAGTACCATCTTCACTATCATGAGAGGAAGGTATTGTCCTGATGAGGATCCTCATTTTTACAGACCCTCTGGGAAGTCAACTCTTGCACAGCTGATGTTATGAATTTCTGTTCTTCAGAAGGCTGCTCCTGCTACAAGTCTGCACTTGACCCAAGGATCTGGAACCTAGTGGGCATCTTCATTCCAAAGCCACATGTAAGTCTCACACACACACTGTACTTACTGCAAATCAGATTCTGTATGCAGACATATTCCTTCAATTCAAATTCTTGCTGAAATCCCTCCTAAACTTACTTACCTTTAGCTTCCGTTTGCTCCTGTGTCACCAAGCTATGGCTCAAATGCACAGAGCTCTGACTGCAGGGCGGGTGACAGGGCTTATGCAAATGCCCTAAGCCCGGTCTCCTGTCATGAGGTCTCCTGATGAAGGGCACCAAGCACTTCCGAACCAATGCTGCTTTGTGATGCTTCAGTCTGGGGACTAGATTCTCTCATTAGAATTTCCACACTCATTTAGGGGCATCTTTATTTGTAATAAAATGGGGATGGAGCATTGCCTCCCAAGCTCAGTGACCATGCCTTTAGCAAACATTCCCCGACAGCAGTGGCAATCAGTGACTGAGAGACAAATTCACAGACTGCACCCAAATGACAAAAGTTACGTTTAATTTACAATGTAATAAAGGTTACAGGTAAAAAGCTACACATAAAGCATGAAAAGGCCTATTACACAAATGTACAAATCTCTGTACAAAGCTTGTATCAATGTTTCCTAACTTTGTCTCCTATGTTTGTTAGCCAGGTCTAGTCTCAGAGCTCTCAATAACAAGAGCTCTCAATTGGGGGGGAAAGAGCCTCCAAACTGACATCTAAAAATTCCTCTTAGAGACACCAGTTACTTGCAAAAAAATCTTTTCCTTTTTATTTTGAATTACCCCAACCGGTTATATCCTTTGAAAATTGCCTTCATAATACACTTAAAAGTAATACCTTAGAGTAGAGGACAGTACTCTGGAATTAAATAAGAAACTTCAGCAAGTGGAGTGCTCAGGTTTGACAAGAAAAACAGGTAGAGTTCAAACAATACTGTAAGTTAAAACTATAAACCTGTGTCTATGGCACCAGTCACAGACGAAGGAAAATTGAACTGTTTTCACTCCAAAAGAGGAAGGACAAAAGAGAAAAGCCTAACTATTGGACCTCAAAACCACTGACCCAAGGAAACATTTTTTAGTTTAAACCTCAACTTAACTGCAGACTTCTAAGTCTTCTTTTTGATCAATTTGAGATCCATGGCAACCCTTCTGCTACCTGGGACTTGCAAAGGTAGTGAACATAAATCAGGCTGCTGGACCCCCAAGGCTGGTGATGCTACTGTAACCTCGACAGCACTGGATTCAACCTGAGGGCCTGGGATATGTGACTTTACATAAAAATGATCCTGGAAAGTGGGAGAAAGGAGGTAGTGGAAGGCCTAGGAAAGAGCCAGGGCAGTCTATTGAAAAGGATATAAGGAGCCTTTCTTACACTGCAAGTGTTGTGAAGACAGGTCTTTATGGGCTATTTCAACCCCACCCCCAATTTTCATATTACATGGTTAGGATGCCAGGAGACATTCTGAAAGACGATACCGCACACATGGAAAGTTTTTCTCCCTAGTTCATTAGCTCCCCATCACCCTTCCACCCCATTCCCACCCAATCCCACCCCTCTCCATGACCAAAAATATCAAATCAGTAAGGAAGGTGTGGGCTTCTTGCCTGGCCAAGCCTCTTTTGCATACTTCTTCTTCTTGGGTTCATTTACAGCTTCAGGGTTATAGACTGCAGGGTTTGGTGCAGGGTTCATGTTCACTGCTGACGGCACAACAGGAGTCAAGTCCACATCAGGGGCAAGGTTTGGGTATGGCATGGGCAAGCCACCGATAAGTGCTGTCCCGTGGATGCCATGTGGCTGGGAGCCTGCTTCACTGTGTGTAGGGGGCAGGCCCCCGTAAAGTCCTCCACTGAAGGCAAAGTTCTGCATGCGCCTGCTCCCTGATTCCTCCAGGCCCAGGGAGCCTGGGCCCTCCACACGCTTCTTCTACAGTTCACGATGAGGAGAGGGGAGAGATTGGAGAGAGAAGACAAGCGGTGAGGCCCATGAGTGGTCAGCTTTTTCTATTCCAGCCTTAGAAAAATGGCTTTGGGAAAGGTTCCTAACTTCTAGCCTGTTCTCCTTTACGGACAACCTATTTCATGGTGTTAAAATCTTACGGTTTGAAGAGACCTTCCCAGTCATCTATGATGGTTCCCAACACTGCTCCATAACAAAGTTTTCACCATCCTATATCAGCCAAGAAGGATGGTACTGTGAGTTTTACATAAAGTAAAACATATCAGTTTTAATGACTATTCTTTACCCTGAAGTCACATAGCTCACTTTCTTATTTTCATATTAAAATGACCTTTTAGGAGGAACACATGAGATCAGGAGTTCGAGACCAGCCTGGCCAACATGGAAAACCCCATCTCTACTAAAAATACAAAAATTAGCCAGGTGTGGTGGCAGGTTCCTGTCATCACAGCTACTCGGGAGGCTGAGGCACGAGAATCACTTGAGGCAGAGGTTGCAGTGAGCTGAGATGGTGCCACTGCACTCCAGCCTGGGTGACAGAGTGAGACTGTCTCAAAAATAAAAAACATTTAAAAAAAAATCCCTTTTAGGAAATGGAAACGATAAAAGATGTCAATAGATATTTTTCCTTTTTTTGAGGGGGAAAAATTTGGTATCTTCATATTTGATGTCCAATTTTTTTTTTCGAGACAAGAGTTTCACTCTTGTTGCCCAGGCTGGAGTGTAATGGTGCCATCTCAGCTCACGGCAACCTCCGCCTCCCGGGTTCAAGCCATTCTCCTGCCTCAGCCTCTGGAGTAGCTGGGATTACAGGCATGCGCCACCATGCCTGGCTAATTTTGTATTTTTAGTAGAGACGGGGTTTCTCCATGTTGGTCAGGCTGGTCTCAAACTCCCTACCTCAGGTGATCCGCCCGCCTCGGCCTCCCAAAGTGCTGGGATTACAGGCATGAGCCACCGCACCTGGCCTGGTGTCCAATTTTTAAACATTAATCTGAGAGCAAAACCAATCTACAGTGAAGAAAATATTTACTGGCTGCCTGGGCCTAGGAGTGGACTGCTGCAAAGGGCCACGAGGCAACTTTTTGGAGTGAGGAAAATCTCTATCTTAATTATGGTGGCGGTTACACATATATTTGCCAAAACTATACACTTAAATGTGTAGACTTTATTATATGTAAATTGTACTGCAATAAAATTGACATAAAACTATGTACCTGATGATTTTATACTTTAATGACAAGAAAATATTCCAAAGGAATAAAAACAACAACAAAAAGAGCTCAAGGGGCATTATGGAGTCCCACAGAAAAACATCTTCTACTTTTCCACACTAGACTAAAGCTCATGAAACATCCTCCTCACTCCTATACTCCTTCTGGATTAAACAAAGTCTAAGCAGGAACTCTGACAGATCTTATTTAGTCTAATATATTCTACAGATTTTTTTTTTTTTTATAAAAAGTAAAACAATTTCTATATCATCTCTAACCAGCATCTTCTAATCACCTTCTTAATATTAACAGGGATCTCACTACTCTAAGGGGAAGTGTGTTGCCGTTTGGATTGTTCTGCTATTTGGTAGTTCTTCCACATGTTGAACGATCTAACTTCTACCTCTTGGTAGATCTCAGAAGATCTCCGTAACTTCTTAGAAGTTACTCTTAGAAGTAACTCTTAGAAGATCTCCGTAACTTCTACCTCTTGGTTCTTCAACATACTTGATCTTTAAACTTAATCCACATCTGGGCTGACATTCCTATCTGTGCCATTGCCACTCATAAAATAAAGGCATGACAAACCGTGTGGTATTGCAATAATGCATCTCCTCTACCTAACAGCTTACTTTGAGGCCAAAGAGAAAGGACAAAAGAAGGTGGGCTTCTCTCTGCACCCCTCTGGAAAATGAATTTACAGATTCACATTGCACATGATTTACATGAAACATCAAGCTGGCTAGTTACCTACAGCCTTTCTGTGGTACTCCAGGATTCCCTAAACATAGATTTCATTTCCACAGAATGAGAAATGAGAGAGGAGTATGGTATGTATTTTAAAATTAAGCACTCACTCAATAGCACATAAAGAGCAGGTTATTTTTTTTTTTTGAGACAGAGTCTCCCTCGGTTGCCAGGGTGGAGTGCAGTGGAGTGCAGTGGCGCGATCTCAGTTCACTGCAACTTCTGCCTCCCACGTTCCAGCGATTCTCCCGCCTCAACCTCTCAAGTAGCTGAGACTACAGGAACGTGCCACCACACCCAGCTAATTTTTGTATTTTTAGTAGAGACAGGGTTTCACCATGTTGGCCAGGCTGGTCTCGACCTCCTGACCTCAGCTCCTCCTTCTCCTTCCTCTTTCTCTCTTCTTTTCCTCTTTCTTTCTTTCTTCCTCTCTCCCTTTCCTTCCTCCCTTCCCTCCCTCCCGTCCTTCCCTTTCCTCTTCCTCCTTTTCTTCCTCCCCTTCCTTCCTTTTTTCCTTTCTTTTTTCTGATTGAAGTCCTCGCTTCTGTTCGGCCCAGGCCTCGGAAGCAGTTGGCGCAAATCTCGCTACGCTGCCAACTTCCACCTCCTGGGTTTCATCGCGATTCTTTCCTGCATCACCTTCCAAGTAGCCCTGGGAACTACAGGTGCCCGCCAACCATGCCTGGGCTTAATTTTTTAGTAATTTTTTTTATAGAGAACGGGTTTTCACCGTGTTACCCAAGGATGGTCTCCAATCTCCCTGACCCATGATCCGCCTGGCCTCAGCCCCCAAAGTGCTGGGATTTTCACAGGCGTGAGCCCCCGTCGCCCCGGCTTGGGAGTGTTTTTCTTTCAATAAAACAAGCAAACCTCATAAAAACAAGTTACATACCTTATTTAGGGAAAGCAGTTCCTTCCCGTATCGGTCTAAATATAATTTACACTGGCTTTTTGGATAAAGTTTTCCTTAGTTAAGTGGTACATAATTTGGGTGCCTCTGCCTGTTTTTCACACAATTCACCCTTTTCAGTGAGAAAACCTCTATCTTTCTTCTTCGCGCCGACCACCCAGTCCCATCCCTTGCTCCGAAAACAACTGTTTGTTGTACTCTTCTTGGCACCTTTGGTTGTGTTGTAAACCCTTTACTGCTGGCTTCTGCTAACTGTGAGTTTCATCAAAGATGGACACCGCTCCTTGCTCTCTTTAACGTTCCGTCGTAGACCGGGGTCAGAAAGCCTTTTAGTGTCATCCTGCTAATGCAGTCTGCGAGGCGCCAGCGAAGTCAAAAGGCCAGTTTCGGGAGCTTGAAGGCTGAATAAAACATTTTTGTGCTTTTGGCCCTAAAAAGGCATTAGCAAGCAGTAGTTAATAAACCATCTTGGATATGTCCATCTTCACTGATACGGAACTGATATGTCTACTCTTTTTTTTTCTTTCCCCCAAAAAGGGAAAGTATAAAGAATGGGGAAAGAAACTGGGAAGGCAAACAAACAGACACATGGTCGTAACTCACCAGGCCTGATTTCCGAAGTTACTTGGACTCAAGTCCTGATTCTGTTCCTCTCCACCAAGAGCACTGGCCGTCCCCACTTTTACTCCCCAAGCCCCAGTTTGCTTTCTCGTCCTCACTGAATGTTAAGTGTTACCCGTACATCCAAACACAGTCCTTTTTGTCGAGGAACGTTACAACAAATGCCCCACAACCCCAGGAAGCACTCCTCTGTGTTTTTACAATTGTAACATGATTTTTTGGTTGAGGTCTTTTGCGTGACCCTGTGCTCTACTCCCTCCCGTTACGAGACCACCAAAGCCCGCCCCCTCTTCTTTTGCAAAGGAATGTTGATTCCCCATTGGTCCGATTCAGGAACAGGTTTGGCCAAACTGCAGTGGTCCCAGTTCCAGGGAGAACCAGAATGCCAAAACAGTCGTTTTTTTATAAAAAACCTGCCCTCCTTTAGGCCAACGCGCCGTTTGCGCCAATCCTGTAATCCGAGGCACTTTGGGAAGCCGCGGCAGATTCCAAGAAATTTCCAAAGAGATAGAGCTGGGCACAGTCCCCACTGTAAAATT